CCGTTGTTCCTTTCTCCACGTCCGCTGTTGTATCCACGTCCAGATGACGGTCGACCGCGGTAGCCTCCTCTACCGCGACCTCGACCGTTCGTAGCGAGAAGTGCTGTGCAAGGTTCGGTGATGGTAGACTCGGTGAAGCTGAGTTTATTCTCCATCTCCAGGTTTATTTCTTCGGAGATCAGCCATCCAGAAAGCTGATTTAACGAAATATTGGTATTGTTCATGCGAATGTTTTGTTTAAAGGATGAGTATTCGGTGGGAAGACCACGAATAACAGCATTCACCACATCACGTTCAGGGATCTCTTCTTTCAAGGCATCAAGATCCGAGAGAATAGTTGCCACATCATCAAGGTATTGTGTCATAGTTTTGGTACCTTTACGAAGATTGTGGAGTTTGTCCTGAAGCTGATAAACATGAGCGGTGGACACGGAGTTGTACCGTTCTGCCAAAGCATCCCAGAGGGCAGCAGATGTGGTGAAGCCGCGAGCATGTTTGTGGAGGGGCTGATGACCGCTAGGAGGCAGGCGCGGATCTGTGTGTCAACGATGGTCCAGGAGGTATACTCTGGATTAGGGAGAGTTTATCGTTTTTGGAGATAGTTGGCGCCGATGCTGCTTCATGACCATCCATCCATCCAAGGAGGAGATTAGCTGAAAGAGCTGTCTGGACATTGAGAGACCATGCCGGATAATTTGTTTCGGTGAGTTTTTCTGGGATTAAGTTGTGGAGACTCCGAAGCAAAAGTTTTACTCCGGAGGGTAAGGACGCCAAAGGATCCGACGAGGCTGCCATGGTGGGCGGCGGTCGGAAAAAAAGAGAGGCTAGTTTTTTGAGAGCCTTAGCTCCGATACCATGATACAATTTGATAATAACTTGTCTTATTGAATATTGAGAGATATGACCCTATATATAGGGAATACAAGAGTAATCAAAGTACAAGTAGGAAAGGAAAGAATAATCCTAGTAGGAAAGGAAAGAAGTATCCTAATTTAATTATACTTCCTAATATAAATAAATAAATTTGGGAGTATTTATGTAAAACTTGTAATTTCTCGGAGTGTTCTTGTGAATTTTGCCTAAAAAAAAGAGAGTTCCATCTCCGAGGGCTTTCTCAGACCCGACGGAACTATAGAGGTTAACTGGACTTTGATCGCAGATTGATGGCTCAAACCGATATTGATAGTTCTTGAATCCAAGGTTATTTCATTTTCTCTTGTAAATATTGTGTAAAACTTAGTCTGGGGGTCTAAATTATGAAAACGAGCCCGTTTTCAACACTCCCAATAATCACATTCGATCATAGGCATTTCAACTCACGACCGAAGGAAAGAGGTAAGGAAGAAGAAGAGGGTGATAGAAGTAGGGTGTGGGAAAATATTAGTATGATTCTTGATAGAAGTAGGGTTTGGGAAGATACTAGTATGATTCTTGATTATTCTTGATTGATAATAATCTAAACAAGGATTACATCTCTTTTATAGATAGAGTTGACAAGTCCAAACCCTAAAAGAATCATACTGGACTACCGGAGTAATTCTTAATTTCGTAGCTTCAATTAAAGCATCGAAGTAAATAACTCGAAAAAAATTATAATTTCGCTCATCTAATAAAATACGGAGTATAAATTACGATAACGAATACTCCGTAAATACTCACTACTCCGTGATAAATTATCGTGATGTATCAACGACCTTTTATTCTTTCTTTAATTTATGTTATATTTTGATAATTAGTTCAAAGCCTTAGGGCGTGTAAGTGATGAGTTTCACTGATGGTGGTACTCTGAGTGCTATACCATTTTGGTACCGTAACTCTAAAATATTTCACAAAAGTATCTAAAGCCAGTTTTCAGATTACAACCGGGTCACTCTGGGCCTTATTCAAATTTTATATTCTTTCTGTTCTCAAAAACACTTTCTCTTTCATTTTTTCCACTTCCAACAAAACACTTCCCTTTTCTATTAAAAAACCACTTTTACCCTTACTTTTTCATATCCTACCTATCACACCATACTTTTTCTCTAATAATCTATCCATCACATCTTACTTTTACACATCACATTAGCGGCAAAATTGGAAATCAACTATAATTTAACACTACCTTATTTTTGTCCCAAATCAAAATGGGAAGTCTTTTTGCAAAGCGAGGGAGTACCGAGTACATTTCTAATTTTTAATATTGACTCACTTTTTTCTTTATCTCAAGTTCTCTCCCCTTCTCAAAAAAGGGTAGAAGTGGGACTGAAGAAGAAGAAATGAGAGTGAATTTGAGAAAAAAAGAAAAACGATTGGATCAAAATAGAAATTAGAAACAGAAAATTACAATTACGCTCATAGTGACTTGACAGTAACTTGAAAATTGCTTCCATGTACTTCTGTAAAATCCCTTCAAAGTTCAAATATTTTTGCGAGAGAAAACAAAATCTAGGCACTAAAGTAATGCTCCTTCTGTCCGGAAAAACTTTTCCATTTTTGACTTTTGGGAAGGGGAGATAGAAGTTTGACCAAGACGAGAAAACGATAATTTAAATTACTTAGCCTCGAGAAATGTCAAAATGGGTAAAGCGTAGAAGGTAGTTGAGGTATGTTCGATTAGAAAAAAAATAAGGGCAATTATGTCCATTTGGGCAAAATTGAAATGTTTTATGGGACGAGTAAGAAGTGAAAGTTGAAATATTTTAAAGAAGAGAGGGAGTAAGTAATAAAATCAAGTTAAAGAGAACAAGCTCTTAGAATACTTAACAAGAGATGCCTCTACACAAAACTTGCTATGTAGGTACGTTCTGCGTAATGGGAAATGCTTGATTCACAAACAGAATAGTCAGAAATCTCACAAACTTACAATTTTTAAACTTTATTATAAAAAGTCGTTTGGAATAATTTTAAAATGAAAATTCAAAATATAAATGATAAGTTTGTAAACTTTGTGATCATTTTGCTTGTAAATCTAGCATTGCTCCCCCGAAATACATATCGTTTCTCTCTTTACTATTCATCATCTTCCTTCTCGATCGCATTAATGGCTATCAAGCCATATATTGTACAAGATACTCTCCCATGACATAATAAAATACCCTGAATGGCTTGCTACTATCAAAAAAGGTACGTGGTTTTTATTGATTTAATTGCACGGAATCATGCATGTGTTGATTGTGTTCATATTATTTATTATATTTCGACATGCTTATATATTATGTGAGTGTTCTACGGTGGACCTAAGGTCCTTATGAGTCTTCTCACCAATTTTTTTAATTTTTTCAATGCTTATTTCAATACTTGAAATACTTATTTAGCATATATGAAGGTCCATTATGAACCTTAGGTGTATGTAATAATTTGCCATTGTATATTGATCCGTAGTTCTGATAAATTAAAATACATTAGTTGTATAAGAAAGAATTGAATCTCTTTAAATGAGAGTGAAACAAAAAAAATCATTCTAGATATGAGTAAAAAACATGAAAATATCAAAATATGAGTCCTAAGTCTTTTAAGATCAAATAGGAGTATAATGGTAGTGTGAGGTAAGAATATGTGTTTGACAGTGTGATAAAAGGACAATGTTATATGGCAGAGTGATCACTCAATTATCGGCAGTCCATAGCGGCACTCTAGTGGCCGACGACGGTGAAAAATGATAGAGTGACAATGATAATGTGGCAGTTGAAATGTGACAACGTAACAATGAGAGTTTGAACTCCTATTTAGGTCTTAAAAGACTTAAAATTCGTATTTTAGTATTTTTATACTCTCTCCGTCCCTGAAAACATTTCTCCTTTCTTTTTTCATCCGTACCTAAAAACACTTCTCATTTCTATTAAAAAGTCACTTTTACCCCTTACTTTTTCATACTCTACCTATCACATCATACCTTTTTACTAATAATCTATCCATCAAATCATACTTTTATCCATCACATCAAAGGACATTTTTGGAAATTCAATACCAAAATATACTCCCTTAAATCTCTCTTCAAAATCAAAACTCCCATGTTTTCCGGGACAGAGGGAGTAGTTTTTACTTGGAGTTTTTTCCAAAAACAAATCAAAAGGACCAAAATGCGCATGATAACAAATTTTAAATTTAAAAAGGGAGTAGGTTGTAAATTTTGACTCTGTGATTGCCAATTGTACTCCTTTTTTATTTTACTCCCTCCGTCCTAAAACTTTCTTCCCGTTGCGCAAAACGAAGAAAAATCCTAAGTTTTTTCAATCTATTTTATTTAAATATTGGTATAGAAATAAAAAATGAAACATACATATTTAAAAACTACATCAAAAGTTCAACAAAACAAGTGGTGACAAGAATATTTTATTTTATCATATAGGCCATGAAAAACACAAATAAATATAAATTCCCGTAAAATTGGAATAGTACTCTGGGAAGAAAGTTTCAGGACGGAGGGAGTATTTCTTATGCAAAGTGAATAGATCCCTAAATATCTTGATCACTTTCTTTCTTGGGCGACTTGGGTGCAACACCTTCCGGGAAATAATTTATATATATCCGCTGCGATCCTTACAAAGTCTCAATATTCAAATTTAAAATGTAGACTTTTCACATTTTTCATGGATTTGTATGTGAATATTTTTCTTTTTTGTAAAAGATCCATTTCTTCTTTGCTATGAATACACTAAACCTCATAAAATAAGCATGAACCATAAGTCCACGAAAGAATTTCTTATATTTTTTGCCTGTCGAAAAAAGAGCAAAGCTTTGCGATCAAATCACACCAATTTCACTCCTTCCTCTCTTTTTAATTACTTTTTATTTATAATTCTAACCAATTAAAATTTAAAATATCTTTAATTCAATCAACAAATTCATTCACACTTTTATGTGATTGCATCTAATAACTTCATTTTTCACATACCATAAGATACATATTTCTATCACTCAATGTCATACTCTTTTATACGAAGTACTTATCAAACCCCACCAAACTCCCACTACAGATTGATAACCTTATATAGGAACGCCCGTGATAATCGATAGCAAATTTTTTTCAGAAAATAATCAACACAAACAAAACATTTCCAACATTATTAAAACAAATCCCCCCCCCACATTTGTCTATCTTTCCTACATATAAATTGATCCATTATTATTAGGACCGTGCTACAGTGCACCCACCCATGCCTCCTTTGCTGCCTCCCTATTTAAGGTGTTTTTTACCTTTTCTCCTTTTTTTCTCCTTTCCTCTATGTTGCTCTGGATCTGCTCTTCCGCGGCAGCGACCCGCTCTCTTCTCCCTTTCATGCGCTCTCCTTCTTACAAGCCGGCAGGTAATCTCTTCTTTTTCTTATCTTCATCTTCATATCTCTGATGCGCCAACCCCTGTAGCACAACAATCCTCTGTCAATCTCTTCTCTTCATTCCATTTTTAGTCAATTTCTATGTCAATAATTTTTTGAATTTTTGTAGAGTACATAGGATATTTGGTGATTATGGACATACAAACATCTATTGTTACACATGTTGAGAATGAGCAACCACATGATTTTGGTGGTGAAGAAGAAGACCTGGTTTTAAATGAGTTGCAACCCAGTTGTAAGTGTTGATATTTAGACCCCATTCTATATTCATTTGAAGTAGTGAAAAAATACTGTTTTGTTTTCGTGTTACAGAGATTAAAGTTCTGTGAATCTAGGGTTTGTCCTTGTCACAGACGCTAATTATCTGTATGAACTCTGCATTTGGTGTATTATTGTTTTCTTCATAGATAGGTATTTTATTATATTAAAGGTACTGTTTTTTGCAGCTTTTGAACCATATTTTTTTTCTAAACGATCCTTGCTTTCAGTATTTATTTAACGACGAAGGACAAGAACAGGCGAGTGGTGAGATCAGACAAAACACAGATGACATTAACAATGATGTCCGGAACAATGGTCAATGTTCTTCTAAAGGAAACAAAGGTAGCGTGCCTGAAGTGGGGATGAAGTTTACAAGCATTGAAGAAATTCGAGAACACTATCTGGCTTATGCTCGAAGTGTAGGATTTCCAATGCGGACTAGGACAACTCGCAAAGCCAAAGATGGAACTCCTAGAAGTGTTACATTTGTGTGTAGTCGACAAGGAAATAAAAAGAGCAAAACACAAGATGTGTTCCACCCTTTTTGCTTTTTGTGTAAAGTATGTAACAAGTATGATAACTTTCTCAGAGTTCCCTGCACATAAACTAATGAAAACTTGATGTAACTCTGTCTTCACATACATTAAGTCTCTGTGAAGTCTGTGACATAGACAGTTATTCCATGTGAGCACCAAGAAATCTAATGTATGCGTTTTAACTTTGTTTTTAGCTATACAAGACCCCTAGATATGTGATGAAATTCTGAAGATGGTGCATGTGCATAACGTTAAGTAACTCTGTCGTCACATACATTAAAGCTCTGTGTAATGGGTAAAATAGACAGTTAATCTCTGAGAGGGATCTGAAAGTAAATCTGTAATTCAATCATAAACTAAGGTAAATCATTCATCGCACACAGTAACAGATTGTGCATTATCAAGTAGAAATTCATGATGATAAAAGCCCCATTACAAAAAAATCAAAAAAATCTGAAGTGCATAACATTATGTAACTCTGTCACATACGTTGAAGCTCTGTGTAACAAGTAAAATAGACGGTTATTCTCTGTGAGGGCTCTGAAATTAAATTTGTAATTCAGTCATAAACTAAGGTAAATCATTCATAACACACAGTAACAGATTGTTCATTAACAAGTAGAAATTCATGATGCTAAAAGCCCCATTACAAAGCTTTCAAAAAAATCTAAAGTGTTTCCCCAAAAAATACATTACAAATACTGCAGTCCGGGCTTAATGGTAAGGCTAGCAACAAATACTCTAGAAATGCTAGCACCATCACTCCACAATTTCTATACCTGTAAGGGAAAATAGTATTAAAATAACAAGCAAACCTCTTTCACAAACAATAATGTTTTATGAAGTTCAATAAACAGAAGTTAATCGTCTATGAGATACAATTCACAGAAAGCAAGCAAAATAACAAGCAGACCTCTTTCACAGACAATAATGTTATATGAAGTTTAAATACCAGAACTTAACCATCTATGCCATACAATTCGCACAGTAAGCAGAAATAACAAGCAAACCTATTTCACAGAGTCTAATAACAAGTGGGGTACATGCTAAGGACCATGCTACATTTACACCAAAAAATATACATATAGCTTAATCCAAAATCTAAAGTGTTTCCCCAAAAAAATACATTACTTGTTTAGAGGGGTGGGGCTGCCGGCGCTGGAGCTGGAGGGGTGGGCCTGCCGGCGCTGCTATGCTCTCGACGGAGAAGAAGGACGTGGAATTAGAGTTGTCCGAATTCTATCGCTTGTAGAGGTTGAAGTGAGAGAAGGGAGATTTGGGAATTTTGGGGAAGAAAGTGGGAGAGGAAAAGACTAAGAAAAAAGAAAAATTAAAAAAACTAAATATATTGGGTGGCATGCTTGGAGGCACATGTGGTGCCTCTTTAGGATTCTCCTTATTATTATTGATGGTGATCTATTATTTTTTTATTGGTATTTATGATTGGACATAATTGAATTTCTAGTTTCAACCATATAAAAACTAAAAAAAATACCCCTAAAAAAAGGAGATAGAAGCTGTAAACCAAACAAAACAAAAAAGTTTGTTCCCTTTTTAAAACAAAACAAATGTGCCATGTCCCAAAAGTCCACATTTTGGTACAATCTTTTTCCCCAAATTTGCGGGAGAATAAATAGCGCCTTCCAATCCCCCCCACCCCCAATCTAACCATTTCATTCTCTCTTCTTCCCTTTTTTCTTTCCATGGCCAAAAAAATTTACCCTCAGACCCCTTCTTCTTCTTCATCTTCTTCTTCATCGTCTTCATCTTCTTCGTATATCACTTCGAAGCGCGAGAGATTTACAGTGTGGATGAAGTCGCTTGTCTTCCATGGAAATGGATGCACAGTGTTCGATTCCAATGGCGACATCGTCTACAGGATCGATAACTATAACAGAAAATGCAGCAGAGAAGTTCATCTCATGGATCTCCATGGCCGAGTCCTCTTCTCCATTAGACAAAAGGTAGGTTCATCGCAAACCATTAATCTGTTCGATTCGATATCTTATTCATTCATTCATTCATTTTTAAATCAATGTGAGATTCTAACATTAACGACCTGGAACTGGTCATTTGAGCTTAACAGATCTCAAAATCATATCAAAACATAGATTCAATAGGGAAAAATCGAGCTGATGTGAAGAGTAATTGGTTTGCTCTTTTTTCCATTCAATCAATATAGCCGAGGATATGGACTTAGATAGGAACAATTTGACATCGAGTATCGGTGTAGTTGAATAGAATTTTGACCTTGATTTGTAGTTCATGATGATTTGTGTTTTGCCATAGTTTTGTAACTTATGTATTTGTGCTTTATGTGTTTTAAGTGTAGTCGATAGCTATCTTGCACGGATTCTTCAGATAGGTGCCCACACCTAAATCCTTATATATTATGAAAAAAATTGACGTTTCATGCTTCCGACCCCGTCTAGGTGCAACTTAGGTTGATAGTGTAGGTATGCTTCTTTCTTGTGCTTGTCCTTTTATTTTGTTCATACTACTTGTTCACTTTGTGTTTCTGTGTTTGAACCGGGGTCTTTTGAAAACACTCTCGAGTAGGGATAAGATCTGCATACACAACTCCGTTTGGACCATATTTTTTGGGAGATTTTATGGTGTTTCTGGTTGTTCTTGTTGTTGCTGAAATCAATATTGGATGAAGAAAGAAATATGAATAAGTCTTGAAGAGGTTTTGATCTGATCTTTGTGTGCAATGGGGTTGTTATAAATCTGCAGAAATTCTCAGTTTTTGGAGGATGGAACGGGTACAGATGCTGCAACAGCGAAGCCATTGATGAAGTTCTATGCTTTCGGGTTCGGAGAATTCGGAATTCTTTCTGGGGACATTCGAAGCACTACTCCGTTCATCTTGCTTCTCTTCAACCCGAAGACAACTGTTATCAGATCGTTCACTTGCCCGGAAAATCCGCCTTCAAGATTGTCAACAACAGATCCACACTCTTAGCAGAGGTGTGTGCTAAACCTGACAAAGATTGATCCACCTATTTTTGACCCGAGACTCACTCTACTCCAAAATTTTGAACAAAGGTTTTGTTAACGTACCCACTAAAGTATGGTTTTTTCCCCTTTCAAAATCACTTATTTTAGTATGAAATACAATATGATAAATTACTTCTTTTGAGTATATGAACTTGAATGCTACATATTTAATTTTTTTTACTATTTATTATATTTTTGCATATATTCATAATCAACTAAATATTCAAAAGAAGACATTATAAATGCTAAAAATCCATGGGGTCGATCCGTATCCGATGGCACTGAGTTATTAACATGCATTTTTCAATCCAAACTCAAGTCCGAAACGACCTGTACCCGACCTAATGGACATGTTTTAAGTCTGTTTTACTGACCAGATGTGACATGGGGTTTTGCAGGTGAACCAAAAGCAGGACAAATCGGGAGTTGTTTTGGGAGATGATGTGTTGAGTTTGATGGTGGAACCTCAAGTTGATCATTCTTTAGTTATGGCTCTAGTGACAGTCTATGGTTTGATCAACCAAAAACTATGATACCATTTTGTGTTTCTATATTTATTCATTTCTATTTAGACACACACATATATACACTGATATATATACACATATAAATATATAGTTGTACATTGTTCAAATCATCAAAAAAAAATCTAACCATTCGTTCATCGCCTATTAGAACATACGGCCCCCTTTCGATTGGAGTCTCGTTCTCGTGGAACATGGTGATGTGCATGCTTGGATCTAGGTCCAAGTGGATAGATATTAATCCACCAAAAATATTACGTAATATTAAATCATGAACAAAACGAAGAGAGATAAAATGATAATCTGTCATATGATAGAGATTGATTGATTGAGACCATGTCTCTCACATTCCTAGAAAACATAAGAATGTGACCCATGATCATAAAAGATTACGATAGAGATCGTGGGATGCCAACTTTGTCTCCTAATCTAAGTGTGTATCATAACTTGACATCTGACAAAATTCTAGCCTTCTTTTCAGTTCAGGTTAGCTCGACCCATTCCATGTTGGGTTGCGTCCTCTTACCAAATTCACTCTCGTTCCCAAATAGCAAGAGGTAAAAGTCTAAAAAAGAGAGTTACAAAGTAAAGTAAACTGTTTTTAAAATTATTTTATTGAAGAAATTGGTGTAAAAATAAAAATACGGAGTATAATTTAAATATTTAAAAGTTACGTCAAAGAGTTATACGGTGTATTAAAAACACAAAGTATAAAGCAAGAGATGACATGACTATATTATTTTATCGAACAATCAATAAAATATATATAAATAAATAAAAGGTATCTTGATTCTAGAATAATAAATATAAATTTTATTTGAGTACTAGAGGAGTATACAGACAGATTAGCTGGTTTGGGCCTAAATATAATACTCCTCATTAAATATGAGGGGGGGACGGGTATATTGAATTTTTGTCACTAGGCTTATTTGGATTAACCCTAATATACCCATGTAATCCAAGTGTGATGGCTTAAGAAATCCAAACGCGACGCTAGACTTATTTTCTTTAATCTTTTTGTAGACGTGGGATAGATACTGAAGTTCTTATCGTGCAAAAAGTCAATAAATTCCTTGGATAACCTTATATTATTTGTTGGTACAAAATTTGACATTGATTCTGTTTTTCTATAGAGTCAAAAATTCAAAAATAAAGTTGCATGAAAAGTGAAGGGTAAGATCTATTTTAGGTTTCTAGGTAAATTCTCAGAATGGTACTCAATAATTATGTATTTTTCCAAATTAGTCCATAAGATGAACTAAATAACGAGATGGTACTCGTTAATTGAAAATAATGCCAGTTTAGTCTCCCGACTAACCGCCATCAAAATGGCATCAAAATCATATTAAAACTTATACTTAATTTCCAAAATGATCATTTCTAATCGAATCTTTTTTTTAAAACTAGTCCATTTTCAAAATAAAAACTCGTGAAGAATGGTCTCTTGGCTTCGCTCAAACACCGTAAATCATTTAAAAGGGAAGAATCATGCTTCATTTTTTCACATTAAATGAGTTTTTACATTGAAAATAGACTAATTTGAAAAATATCTCATTATAGATTATCAATTTAGAAAATTAGTACTCCGGGGTATAAGTTTTACTACCGTTTTGACGATCGTTAATCGAAGGACTAAACTGGGTATTATTTTAATTAACGAGTACAATTTCGGTAATTAGTTCACCTTGAGGCTAATTTGAGAAAACACATAGTTATTGAGTATCATTTTGAAAATTTACTCTAGATTTCAAAAGAACACCGTGAGTAGGGGTGTAAACGGATATTAATCAATCGGATGTGCCATTACCAAATCCGTATCCGTTTATATTTGTCGGATATCGAATTCGGATACGGATCTTGACGGATACTGAAAATCAAAACCGTATCCGCATCCGTCGGATATCGGTCGGATATCGGATATATCCGTATCCGTTTCCAATTTTTATAATCAAATTAAACAATATTTTAATTTTAAATTAGATTAAAGTCAAACTATTATTAAATCAACTATAATTTGATATGGGATAATTATTTTCTTTGTTTTCATGATTTATGATATTCTACGATAATTTCATATGATAAAAAGATATACACAACACACATACACATACTTTTATATGTCTATATATGTTTTTATGTGTCTACACATTTATTTTGTATATAAAAATGTCTTATATTTTGAAATATCAATAGAGAAACAAATTATAAACATAAAAAAATTAGGAAAAACTATATATAACGGATCGGATATTCGGATAAACGGTTATTTAGACGGATGCATATTCGGATCAGATTTTAAATGGATCGGATATACAATTACCAAATCCGTATCCGTTTAGTAATCGGATATCCTTAATCGAATACGGATAATATCTGTTTAAAAGAACAACAACAACCCAGGTAAATCCCACAAAAGTAGGGTCTGGGGAGGGTGTGTGTACGCAGACCTTGCCCCTACTCGAAAGTAGAGAGACTGTTTCCAAAGAGACCCCCGGCTCAACGTCGAAAGTTGCATTGCTTGACTATCTGTTTAAAACGGATGCGGATATTTTCTCTTTAAAGGAATACGGATGCGGACGGTAGTCGGATTTTCGGCTATCCGTTTACACCCCTAACCGTGAGATCTACAAATGGTCTGATGTCATAATATGGCATTATGCCTAGTGTCAAAACATCCATATTATAAATACTAGTATTATTTATAATTTATATTTATTTTTATTATATTTATACTAATTTTGATGATGATTATTTTGGGAATCAACTAGGTTTTAGAGAAGCTACTAGCCTCTTGCTTCTTCAAAACTGGTTCTAAGAAGCACTTAGAAGTGATCATAGATAGAAGAACTTCACCCAAACACACATGTTTATTAGAGCAACACAACAAGATCAAATCCAAACAAGCCCTAACTCACAAGAAACTGCTTCAATATCATGCAAAATCTTTGGATACACTCATACACAAAGGGTAATGTCAATTTTGTTACACATATATTTATACTATACCTTATACAGAAAGAAAGAAAGAAAGAAAGAAAGAAAACGCATTTCCGAAAATATACAAATTTTTGTGTAAATATATATATATATAAATATTTTTATTATTATTCAAACTCGAGGATTCCTTGAAGCGAAAATGCACCTGGATATAGGAAAAACAAGATGGTGTTTTATTCAAGGAGCCATTTTTGCATTTTTAAGGTTGCGAACCTTCATCACAAGCTGTTGTCTTTCGCCTTCTACCTCTGCAAATTTGAGGCTTATTTCGGAGTATCTCTCTTGCATTTCCTTCAACTCGTCTTCCATTGCTTCGTTCCGCTCTCTCAGTAGTGTAATTTCAGTCAACAATTTGTTACTGCTGAAAATGAGAGAAAAAGAAAGAAAGAAAGATTTGTAATGAACTTTGAGTGTTCGAAAAAGAAATTAAAGAGAACTCATTTGCATAACAAAATCTCTTCTTTTTTTTGTCTAATCTTCATAACAGATTCAACATCATTCAAATATCAATTTGTACCTATTTCGAGTTCCACTTTTTCCAGAATTAGAATCCAAGTCTTTTGTAACTACCTGCAAATTGTATAAATGAACCTTTAGCTCCTTTTCAGGTAAAGAACTTAGACACTCACCTTGAGTGTCATATTATGACACCATCCATTCGAGAGCATTACGGTTCACCCTTGGGCCCCAAAAAAGTTTTTACCACCTAACCCAACTCTCTAGAAAAGACCCAGAGCCATAGCATTTTACTGTAGCATTTCAGCATTTCCAGGGAGCTAGGGAGGAGTAGGAACCACTTAAGGACCCAATGGAGCAATGTAGAGCTCTGGTGTCATATTATTACACCCAAAACCGGTGTCACTGTCCATGTGGGTGAGAGCCCTCACAACCCCGGCACAATGACGCAATATTTAATTGAGCGAAAAAAAGAAGTCATTATTGACAGCTTCGTTTGATAATGGACTAAATCAAAATGGCGCATTGAACTCATTTGCTGGTTTTATGATGTTTGGGTAGTGCTGACCTTTAATGGCTTCTGTTTGAAAACCTTTGTTATATTCTGGTTGAGTTCTTCTAATCTTGTTTCTAACTCTCCGATCTTAACTTGAAGATCTTTCTCCTTCTCCAGAAATGAATTTGTTGCAGTCTCAAGGGATTTCTCCTTCAGCTCAATCTCACCCTTTTTTATACAAAAACAAAATGTCAGTTTCCAAGAAAGAACTATCATGCATTTTTAACTATTTACTACAACAACAAACAAACCCAGTGCATTTTCAACTATTTAATTTTAAAAATACTAAACTTTTTTTTCATATAGTATATAAGTTCAGATATACCTCAAGCAACTTGATTTTCTCCTTCAAGCTAATAACATCCTTAAGACCATGGGAAGCAACAGTTCCCAGTTTATTTTTCCTTGAAGTAAGACTTAGTAGTGCATCTTCTTTCTTCTTTAGATCACCCTTTAAAAGGGATACTTCCTTCCTCAACTTATCTTTCTCCAACTCCCCCTCAGAAAGGTGAGTGTTCAACTCGTTGTATTGCGCCCTAAGAGTGCCCATCTCTAACTGAAGGGTACCCACCAACAAGTCCTTCTCATCCTTGAGACGTGCCACACTGTTCATCTCTTTCAAAGTTTCATTCACCTTTTCATGCATCGTAGCAATCCGGTCTTCCAGTTGACTTTTCTGTACCCGGAGCTCATTTGCTTCGGCCAAGGCTTTAGCGACCAGTTTCTCATTGGCCTGGGACATTGATTCCATTTGCAGAGAGAGCTTCTTGAGCTCCTCCTGAAGCTTCTCTGCAGCATTTGCATTTTGCCACCGTGTCTTTCTAAGTGCTTCTTCTGCAAGAATGGCCCTTTGTTCTTGCTCGACTTTAGAGCGAGAGAGGGCTTCGAGATCGGTCTCGAATTGTTGGGCTAGCTTTTCAAGCTCTTCCTCCAAGCATGAACACTCACATTGCATTTTCAGCTGTTCTTGTAACTGGTTCTGCTCCAGCTTATGCAGTAGGTGGTGGTTTTCCTGTTTCAGGATCTCATAGTCAAGTGCCAGCTGCTCCATCTGCATCTCTACCTCATCTTTTTCTCTTCTGTAGATCTCTAGTTCGTTTTGGAGATCTGTGATCTTTTGTTCAAGCTTGTACGATTCTTTTGCATTGCCGTGGTGTCTCACAAGCTCCTCCAATGCTTTCTGTTCTTCATCGTCGTCATCGTCTGTGTCATTTTCGCTGTCATGTTTTAAAGTTAGAATCTTGAAACTTCCAGAATCATTAAGGGTCCTTGAGGGGAAAATAGGAAAACAAAGCAACAACAAACCTAGTAAAATCTCACAAAAAGTAAGGTCTAGGGAGGGTGGTATGTAAGCCCGGACCTTACCCCTTACTCGAAAGTAGAACGAAAGAAAGAACGATGAGTTGTGAAAAAAATAGCAAGCAGGCTTAAACTCATGCATGTGTTTTTATACAATTTTCAAATACATTTTTTGAATTTATTCTTTTTAATACTAGGAAATCTAAACATTGCTTAAAATTTTGAAAACAGATAATTGTATTGATTTGTTTTCTAAGGTGAAGAAAATAAGAAAAGAAGTAAAGAACAACCCCCAC